ACAGACTGATACTGAACTGACATAAATAGATATTTTTATTTTGTAATTACATATATAATATACATATAAAACACCCAGACCGATGAAAACAATCGATGACCGATGAGTACAAATGTTTGCACCGTGCGAGAAATCGAACCCGTGACCATCGGATGTAAAGCGGTGTGACCACCGAGGCAGTCGAAATATATAAATAATCTTATGAATTTAATTTATTCTAATTTGTTTGTGTGCGCGGGGTGCGGTGTACGGTGCTCCCCCCTGCCTCCACCGTTGCTGGAGCTTGCATGTATGGAGCATTGCGAATATAAAATATCTAGATTAGTAAATTCATAATTGATAGACCGTTACGGTATCTATATATATTCGGATTAAAATAAGTATCGCAGTAAGGACCAGTATATAAAGTGATCAACACAATTAATTGATTTTTGAAATATATATACAGAGCCAAAAAGTCTTTGTGTATTCAAAAAATATCTAATTTGTTTGTGTGCGCGAGGTGCGGTGTACGGTGCAGGGGGGACCCTCCCTCCACCGTTGCTGGAGCTTGCATGTATGGAGCATTGCGAATATAAAATATCTACATTAGTAAATTAATAAATTCATAATTGATAGACCGTTACGGTATCTATATATATTCGGATGAAAATAAGTATCGCAGTAAGGACGAGTATATAAAGTGATCAACATAATTAATTGATTTTTGGAATATATTCAGAGCCAAAAAGTCTTTGTGTATACCAAAAATTTAGCCGTTCGGAGCCATTCAGTCACGAATTATTAGTAAAAAAAGTGTCGAGTATATCGTACTATCGACGAATATATATGGCCGCATCGCAAAATAGAATGCGACGTTGCCATACCGCCTGAGATATACGCGATAGGTGTGAAGTTATTCAGTGCAAAAGGTGGAATCAGCAAGTGTTTCGCTTGTGGCGTGATCAACAAAGTGCCCAAAGAGGTGTTTATATATATATATATATATATATATATATATATATATATATATATATATATATATATATATACTTGGCCTCGGTGGCTAGCGGTTTAGCACAGCGTTTTACTTTCGTTGGTTGCAGTTACGATTCCGCCCATTTCCTCACAAACATTTGTATTCACGAGTATGATTGGTTGTATTGGCCTGGGTGTTTACCATGTATGTATATTATTAGGTATTTATAAAAAAGTATTTATGTATTTATTAAATTGCCTAGTACTCATAAGTCAAGCCCTGCTGAGTTTGGGATTAGATGGCACTGTATAAATTGTCCTGGGGTTATTATTATTATTGTATAATATTTCCAACGTAATTTTATTACATGACTGTTCCGTTATATTTCAGTTCATGTATTCATAATATGTACGTTGTTAAATCAAAACTTGGCTACACAAAACCACAGGAAGCCTATAAAATATAGTTACGCGGTCTATTAATTCTGTACAAATATTTTTAGAATCACATATTCTTATTGATGTAATGTTTTTTCCCTGTTACGTATACTTTTATTGTTTTTCGTCACGGTACATTATTTTTGGCGTCCCCGTTTTCTTTTTTCAGATACAGTAAATTTCATAGCATTGAAATGCGTATTTTTATTAAAATTAATAACAATTTCGAGAAACATTAATGGTGAATTGGAAATTTATGGTCCTCAAGGCTCCTCAAAGTAAGAGAAGCAAAGTTATTAAGTAGTTAAGAGAAAGTTTATGCAGAAATCAAACCTTTTGGTGTGACTGAATGTGTGTATTATATGTGGATAGATAGTCATTTAATTAAAAACATTAGATATTATTTAAGTAGTAAGTTTGGTGACATTGATAGTCTTCAAAAATAATATGGAACTTATTTCAGAGACAACAGCTTCAATTGTTACATGCATTATAATTTTATTATAGAAAATATCAAAGTTCGTGGTTTGTATGTGGATGTATTTCTATTTTACATCTATGTGGATAAGAGATAATAATAGGTATGTTAAAATAAAAAATAATATTTTCTGAATCGTTATAGAAAAACATCTCGGCGAGAAATAAAATCAGGTCTCCGTCATTTTTGTAATACGCTCAGTGAGTAATTCATGTGAAATATTATTTTCCTGCAGAAGGCGTCGGTAGCGTGGGTGGTAGGCGGTAGGGTTGCTATTAAACACATGTAAATATTAATATTATTAATAATACCATAAAATTAATTACTACAACTATGAATCAAAGTCCTATATCGTTATACACTATACAATAACAAATCGCTTCTGTTACATAATAATTCAAACAACAATTTTGAACCATATAATACAACAACATTAAGATGTATGTTGTTGTTGTATTATATAGGTGGGCATACTTCATTATGATACCTACTTATTGCATCATTGTTTATTAAGTGTAGATACGTATAAAACGAAAATTTAAGTAACTAATAAAGAAACTTACAAACTTGTTCTGAGCAACAGTAAATAAGTAGAAAATACCTCCAACACTTTCGCACTTATTGTACATAAGAAGTAACTTTATAGCTGCTATTTTCACGCCTCAACACCAGAACATTATTTTATGATTTTTTTTCAAAGGGCAGCCCTACGTGGTAGCTGTATTTGAGGTAAAAATTTATTTACCTGCGAGGCCATCCGCGGTATTAGGCGCAAGCTTTTAGTACGAACTACGCTTAATACATATTCTAATGACGGGCAGGTGTTGTGGGCAGCCCTGCTAATGAGTAACTTAATTGTCCTGTTTATGACACAATAAGTAATTCCTTTGAGTTTCGCACCTGGATTATGATTTATTCTGGCTTTGTGCTCTCATACTAAATAAAGATTTTTATATATTTCTGAACAGCTCATATAAATATGTCTTACTAACTAAAATTTTTGTCTGTATCTGTTTTATTACATTTTATATCACTATTAGATATATTTACTTCTGGCGTGACCATCAATGATGTATAGATACAGACAGATATAAATCATCTTTTCTTTATTATATATTTTATTAATGGTAATAATAATATTAATAAACTCTTTGTTGTTCTCACAGAAAATACAGTTTCTTAAACTAATAATATGTACAATTGGATAAAAACATATTATGCAAGAAAGAGGTAACAATGGGCGGCATTATCGATGATACCCATCCATCCATCCAGGCAACCTTAGGATGTTATGTTAATGTATATTGGAGTTGAAGAAATAGTATTTTGCATAAATATATTTTTTACAAAACGAAAATACTACATTAAAATTTATTCAATCATAACGAATATGAGAATGAGAGGTGACTGTATGTACAGATCTTTAACATTGAAGAGTCAGAACGAGCGTCTAGGGACAAAACGAAATGGAACATGGTGAAGAGAGATTATGACAAAGCTGAAAACTTTTAATGCTAGCTAGCGAATACAATTTGCGTAAATAGTAACTACTTTACTTTACTCTATTATAAACTTCATAATAGTGTTGCAAACTTTGTAATTAAATTAACTGCTAATATATTTGTATGTTATCAGTTATGCATATTGTTATGCCTTATACCAGAGATAGATTGCAAAAGTCGTCTTCCCCGTCTCATCTATTTACTTCAGCCGCTAAACAGCCTACTTTCTTTTGTGTTTAGGTTTTAGGGCACAGTGAAATTAACAAGATAAGAGGCCTAAAATTTTAGTACTCTGGAATGGCAATGCATGAGGTTTCTAGGCTGACAATTGACAACGTGATGCCCGTAGTGCTATTTATGACGACGGTTACCCATTTACTACCCCATCAGGTGAGTCATCACCTAGTTTGCCATTCAAAATACGCAAAAATATGAATTCCCAGAATTCATTAATATCTAAATATAGAGACTAAAAATAACTACACAAAATTATTCTGAAATTGGTTATTATTTATGATTTCTATTCATTGCTAAACAAAATAGTTTCATCAATTAATCTATTGAGAAGCAAAACTAAGTTAATAAATATTTTCAGATAGTAGTTGCCTATCTTGTAAATATTTTAGAATAAATAAACTACTAACGAGCCATGTAAATATGTACCTAATTACTAAAGTGATGTATTAATCATGTAATATGCACCATACCATCATATCCATGGTTACACGATATATGTAGTTGATATACCTAATACATAATAGTTCAATTTAATTTTCAGTTATTAATTTCATAAAACTTTTTCTGGGCGGCGCCATTATAAAACAGATACAATTCAATTTGCTACTATGCCATTATATTGTTTGGACAAATATTTTTTTTATAAAAACAAAATTTTGTGTTTCGCACGTGTAAATATGATATTTAATGGTTGATCCTTATCCTGGCTGGCTTGTAATCCCATTCATATTCGCGTATTTGTTTTGTATTTATTTATTTTTATAAATAATACTTTTGTAAACTTACTAAACTATTTCATTCATTCATTCATAATTTAAGAGCTACGCTCTTGTCGGTGGAGCTCTTGCCACTTTCCGCGATCTTTCATCATGCTCTTTAATTCTTGATACGACACGACTCCCATTTTGTCCTCAATTTGTTTGTTGTAGCTATTCCTTGGTCTTCCTCTCCCCCTCTTTCCTTCTATTTTCCCCTCAATAATAATTTTCATGAAATCATCGTGCCGTATCAAGTGTCCTAACTAAACTATTAAATAACTAAATATAAAAATAACTGTATTTGAATAAAAATAAGTAGAGCTCATCGTGGTACCAACTTTAAGGATATCTGCATTGAGGGATATATATTCAAAAACTATTTAAATTTGAATTTAAAATAAGATTTTTGCATATTATAAATAACATACGAGAAAATATTTTTCAATAAATTTTACTCTGAACAGAGATGCTTGTTGTGCTACATTGAATGTATATTTAATATAGATAAAATATTGCTGATACTTAACAGGTACTGGTAAAACAAGTTAAAAATCAATACTGGCAATGTTTACACGTAGTCATAGTGAAATGGGCTAGATTGGATATCAACCAATAGCGGGTTATATTTGCTGAATACCATGACAACGGTACGCACCTGTGCCACAAAAAATTGGGCAATATATTGAACTTTTCACGTAAATAATCAGATCCGAAGATTAATAATGAATCAAGAAGCAAAGAAGATAACAAATAACTTGTACGGGAGAGTTACAGCGCCGGCCCTAGAAAAATGTCGCGTTAACTTTTGTACGGATTTAGAGAAATCAGTTTTGATGAGCAATTTTGAGAGACGGGGTTGGAATCAAGTCGGGCCGGATGATGAATGGAACTTCTATTGGGCTTCAACGCAAACCTGTAGAAATCTATTCAGTGTTGAGAGTGGTTATCGAATGAATGACAATCAGATGATTAATCACTTTCCGAACCATTATGAACTGTCGAGGAAAGATTTGCTTGTGAAAAATATAAAGAGATACCGTAAAGAACTCGAGAGAGAAGGAAGTCCATTAGCTGAGAAGGCAGAAGTAGTTCTGCATGGTGGACAAGTTGTTACAAGATATATCCATCTCGATTTCGTTCCTATTACATTCGTTCTTCCAGCTGACTATAATATGTTTGTTGAAGAGTACCGGAAATCTCCACAGAGCACTTGGATTATGAAACCTTGTGGAAAATCTCAAGGTACCGGCATTTTCCTTATAAACAAGTTGTCGAAGCTAAAAAAGTGGTCTCGCGAGGCTAAAACTCCTTTCCATCCGCAGTTAAGCAAGGAAAGCTACGTGATTTCTCGTTACATAGACAATCCTTTGCTAATAGGAGGAAAAAAGTTTGATCTTAGACTTTACGTGTTGGTAACTTCTTTTCGACCCCTGAAAGCTTATCTGTTCCAACTCGGCTTTTGTAGGTTTTGCACAGTGAAATACGATACAAGCGTCACGGAATTAGATAACATGTATGTCCACCTTACAAATGTCAGTGTACAAAAACACGGTGGGGATTATAACAGTATACATGGTGGTAAAATGAGTGTACAAAATTTACGACTTTACTTAGAGGGTAGTCGAGGTAGGGTGGTTACGGAAAAGTTGTTTGCGGCCATGCAATGGCTAATTGTACATTCACTGAAGGCTGTTGCTTCTGTAATGGCTAACGACCGGCACTGTTTTGAATGTTACGGCTACGACATTATTATTGACAACCAGTTAAAGCCTTGGTTAGTAGAAGTGAATGCCTCACCCTCGTTAACATCGACAACAGTTAATGACAGGATACTGAAATATAAGCTAATAGATAACATTTTGTCAGTTGTTTTACCCCCAGACGGTGTGCCAGATGTGCGTTGGAATAAATTGCCCTCACCAGATTCTTTGGGGAGTTTCGATTTACTTATTGATGAAGAACTTTTGGAAAAAGATGAGGGTATAGCGCCAGGCGGACGCATAGGTAAAAATAATAAATTAGGTAGATAAATTTATCTGTAACAAAATAAATACAATGTACATATAATTATATGTTACCTATTAAATAAAGTACTTGAATTAAATAAGTCTCATATTTTTTTAAATTAGATTTTACATATATATGGTAATGGAATTAAGTATTTATATTATTTAAATCTTTATACTTAATAGATTTACAAGCCTTGTTCTACATTCTAACCCAGTATATTTTTTTATACCTACATTTCATTGTGGTTGTTATCATTGTATAACACATAGGTATAACCCGTAAATATGGCCTCAAATGTCTCTTCAAACTACATCATATAGGTGGCTCAGTTGTGCATACTACTTATTTGCATTTTAATGGCGCCACAGAAAAATAACGCCACCCGGCCATTTTATATGCTAAACAGCTGAACTTTGCACCGATTAATGTTGCACAAGTTTTATCTAACGGAACTTGCCTTATAAGACCATAATTTGAGGGTACTATATTCAGATAGGCCAGCTTCAAATTAGCACAGTTATTTAATTTTAGAAACTGCAGTTCTCAGTATATAGGTTTTATAACATGCATAGGTACATATATTTATTTATTTATATAACTTCAACCATGTGCATGTAGACAATAATTGTTGGAGCTGCAAGTATAAAAAAAATATATAATAGACAATACACATACGTATGCCACATATAAATACCTACCTAATAATCTTACAATGAAATAGCAGTACAAACAACAAATTTTAGTAAAAATAAAAAATAAAGATAGAAAGAGGATACTGAGATGAAAAGTTACAAGTTCAGATAATATTCCCGAAATTTACGCTTAAAAGAAAATCTACTCGAGGCAATTCTGATATGAAGGGGAAACAATAACATACACATACAGTTTTACAACCTCACGATGGTTCTGAAGTACAAGAATATCAAAGGATATACGTAAAACAATTAAACGCCATTAAAAACACATTTTAACAATGTTGTGATGTTCGATTCATTCTATTTTTATTAATAACTATCCTTTTGCTCCGTATCAATAATAGGTTAATATTTTCCTCCGGGGTGAGGAAACATTGTACAGTAATGTAAACATTACATAAAAAACTCTGCTAGGTATCATATTTGAAACAATTTCTGTAAAAAAAGACCAACTCAGATTATAAATGTAATAAAAAACAGGGTATTTCGTATTCGATAGATTACACTTCACTGTCGTTGTGAATATTTTAATGTCACATTTCTTGCTGGGAGCTTAGAAGCTCGTTTCAAGTTCGATTGAAAAATCCACGAACCGCCGCCTCACTTACGTTATCAATCACATTTCGGAATTCCGCAGAAACAAACTGAAAGAAGAAAAAGAGAATTTTAAATTCAAGATTTTTCCAACTCGTTTCTTAGTCCATCGATTATATTTGTTCTGAATCTCTTCATTAGGTATTCTTGGCAATTTTTGTTTTACTCTACTGGGAATAAAGTTAGCAAAGTAAAGAAAATACTTGATTTAGTTCACCAGAAATTTGACAACTGTTTTGTAATGTATGAGATATATAATATAGACACATCGGAAAATAAAGGGGGGTATTTTTTTTTTATTTAATATTTTACGGCTCTGGATACAAGTCCTTTTTAATCCAATGTTTCCATTCCGAAAAATAGAAAAATTGGTATAGAAGTTTTTCTTTTGCACCTATTTATCTATTCTCCCAATATATGTACTTACATTTTTTTATAAAGATTTTCTTACTTATATTATTCTAGAGATGATATAAAATACATTAGAAATATAAAATGATTTAACAAAATAAATTTGCATTCTCTTAAATGTACGAATCCTATTAAAGTACTTTTTTATAATTTAAATTTAGTATGCAAATAAGGCTACCTTTCTTCTATGAATTTTCTTGGCGTTTAACTAATGAGCTAGTTATTATTTATAGACTCTATCTACTTCATTACCTACCCTACTAATTGGTAATCAACTTTGTTAGATAAGTTCGCAGTATGGCTATGAATACACAAATTTTCCAAATGTGTGAAGATATGTTTCCACAGAACACAATTCCATATTTATAATCCTCGTAAACTCCTGAAGTCGTATACAACCTATACAATTACTTCGGAATCTTTTGGTTTAGAAGCCGTAAAATTGAAAAAGTAAAAGTAAAATCCATATTTTAAGCTACCCAATTGAAAACCAATATGGATACGCGTGATCTGAATATTTCTTAAATTCTATGATATGAAACATTTGGAACTTATACTTATGTAATTACAAATATATACCATCTGCTTGGGGGCTGAAATATGTAGGTAAGTCAGAGGTAGAGAGACTAAGGACTAATTTTAGTCATCCTTTACTATATATGTACTTTATATATGTACTTGGTGAAGCTCCATTCACTTTACAAATTCTTAAATTATTTCATTTTAAATTGGTTTTATTAGATTAATATATCTATATTTATTGATCGACTTTGCGGGGTAGGTATAGTTAATAGGTAAGTATGTTCTCATGTTACATGAACAAAGTTGCGAGTATAAGTTTTGTGTAGGTATATATATAAAGATTGATGCAGTATCCTGAATTAAATAGTATAATAATTGGGACAAACATTATTACATAGAACACGAATTGCTATATACCAAAGTGATTCGAATGGAATAACTAAGATATTTTAGCAAATGTCAAATAAATAAGTAGGTAAAGCAAATAAATTACTTTCAGCTTTTAACTTTGCAAACGAAGACGCTCCAAATTGCAATGCCAAAAGTTTAAAAGTAGACGTGCCTATCTAAAATTCCTTACATATTTCGTAATTCCCGTGGTGAACGAGAATGGTGGAATTGCCGGAAATTGCACTCAATTGGAGACAGCATCACGTGCCTACGAATTACATGTAGGTACATATACTAGGAATATTGAACGAGACCTATAACTATATACATAACTTGTGCGCTACCTACGTGCCGCTAGATGAAGCGAAACGAAAACGCTATTTTTGAGAGAAAACGGGTTTATTTATTGCAATCATGCTGTATTTATGAATTAAAATTACTTTGGTTTGTCGCTTCTAAATGTGTTTAAAATTATTTTGAAAGAGAAATAAAAGTTATAACAAGTGTTTATTGCCCCCCGGCAATAGGTGATAGATAAGCCATCGGGATCGCGGTGACAGCACCGATAATGTGATTCTGGCATATGGCGTTGGACAAGGGACATCTTGGAGTTTTTAGGGGACGGGTCGGAGGAGGGGTCTCCAAGCAAATAAAAAAAAGTAATATGTGGGATATGGGTACAAAAACTCTGTAGCCCTCTTCACGGCAATTACTCAGTACTTAGTATACTACTCGAAACGAGGACCTTCACATTTGCCACAATTTAAGTTTATATAGAGGACTACTAATATAAAAAAAAAATACATTAGTAAAAATATACTACACATATTACCACGCATTTTATACACATACATATATTGTCTTTGGCAATAGAACCTTATTTTTTTCAAATTTAAAATTTAAATGAATTGTGGTTGCACCAATGAGCGAGCACTAGTAAATTTTAAATACGCAGGAAATAACAACCTTTTGTTGTAATTAATTGCAAATAAATATTCGAATACGTATTATAAAACGAGTTAAGGCAGGCCATTAATCTATCGTAATATGCAACAACTATTCGAATAGTCGTAACCGAGCTGCAGTCGAGTTGTAAGTCAAACCGCACGTGCCCATAGCACCAAATGCAATTTTACTGGTCGCTTCGGTTTCGTTACCACAGGGCTGGAACGTCATAAATATTGAGAATAGCAATGTTATGCTTATACCCAATATCATGTTACACTTCTGTAGATGATCATAAGAGTCTTGTGCTGCTCGCGTGGAATAAAGCCTATATTACTAGCTGATAATAATAATATATTTTTTGATTATGTTTTTTTTTAAATAACATATAGAATATTAAATATAATTTTTTTTCTAAATATATTGAATTCTCTATATATAAATTAGGAGGATCCAGCGGATAAAAATAAACTAGGCTCAATTTGCTTAATAACTTTGTGGTGTTATTTATATAATTTCAAGTGCAAATTAGCTGGTAAGTGGTAAACATCGTCTTTATACATATATGAACGGCAATACGGACATCACGTTATTATGTGACACGCGTGATACCGTGCATTGCCAATCTAGCGTATCTCATATATAGCGGGCGGCTGATATAGGTGAAACTGATGTCGCTACGAAGACAACTTTTACACTCTACCTCTATTAATTCATCAGAAATTAAATATTACGCAGGGTGTCTATGGAAGTCGACCTAGCATGTTCTTTGGAAATATTTTGTCTTTCACAGTAGACACTTCATATTATACGATGTGATGATATATATATTTCCACGTTAATATTAAAAATGTTACTGGAAAGAAGTATACAGAATCTGCAATGGTAATTCTGAGACACGGTTACTTTAAATATTTAATACGTACTACTTTACTAGCTGAGGCAAACACTAACTAAACAATAAGGTACATTAATCAAAATGTTAATAAAATAATATATTCATGACGCGAAGTCGCCTTTACTTTCTTCACTAAAGTAAGTCCTGCGTTTGATTTAGGTTTAGGTCAATTTCGGAGTAAAACAATATTTCTATGTTGACTCAAAACTGCGTATTATCAATATTTCCCTACGGTCATTTATGTAACATTCAATGTATTAGTATCATTCAATGTCACTATCTAAGAATTATTATCGACAGTCAATAATTAATTAAACTTTCCAAAACAAGTATTGAAAAAAATCTCTAAAACGATCCATACGTAAAATTATGAAGACTTAATTCATTGTCAGTTTTACACTTTGTTTCTTAGTGAAAGTGGTACAGTTTCATCTGTGTTTCTATTTTATTCTGATTAATAATTAAATAGAATAGCCTCAGCCTCCCCTTAGGGCTTTCAAGGGTTATTATTGTTTTAGTGTAATTGCCACTATGTATAGCGAGTACCCTCCTGTATTTCGTTTTC